AGAGCCTTCCTCAGAGCCTTCCCCAGACTCCAGGACTGGCCCATCTTCCTCCCCAACCTCCCCATTGTCCGAATCTGCTGCCAGCTCCACTGGCTGCTGGCAGGCCACAACACTTAAGAATGCAGAAACACAGGAAACACACGTCCTCAGAGCTGCTCTTAAAATTCATTTTAATATGAAGAAAAATTCACAGATATCCAGTCGTTTTCCCGACCTTCCTCCAGGAAGGTAAAACATGCCTTGCTTCTCAAAAAAAAAAACCCACTCTTTTTTCAAAGTTACTTTTTTTTCTAAAAAGAATTGCTTTAGTTTTTAAAAGAAATAGGGACCTTTTCCCCAAAATTGAGCTGCCCAGCTTCAGGCAAAGCTAAAAATTCAGCTTTGCTTTCATCAAGAAGAAACGGAGATGGAAGATTTTTGCCCCGGATATATTTTTCCAGCCCCTGCAAAAAAATAAAAAGAATTTGACAGACTGAATGTGGAGGGATTGTTTTAGGACACCTCAAAGGCTAGAAAACCCCAAAAGGCAGAGATGAACTGTGTGATAAAATAGAATTAAAAACAGAATTACAGAATTAAAGTTAACGATGGAGAAATTTTGTTTTGATTATCTCTGCTTTCTGCAACAATCACAAACCATTCTTTATTTTTAAAATCAGTCCTTTTCTATCTACTTTATACACACTGTGGATTTTCCCCACATCCATCTTTTTCTACCTCCTGTGTTCATTATTATTTTCCACCAATTGTTTTATATATTTTTCAGGCTTTTTGCAGGTAGAGGCCTAACCAGGCTGCTTCCCACTTTAGGGCACCAATCACCTGCTCTTAAAACAATGTTTACAAAACAAGGGAAGGGTTCCTAGGTGCACCAGGCCTAATTTAATATTAGCATTATTTACGTGCAAAGCAAAGCTTCTAAATTCTGGCTCTTTCCTTGTTTTGGGGAACAGAGGGGGAAAAAATCCATTGAGTAAAAGTTTACAAAGAATTCTGCTGCCCTTATTCCTGAGTCAGTGCAAAAACCAGTCCTAACCCTTTAGCGACAGATATTCAACCCTTTTGGAGCTCAACAGAGAATAATTTTTCTGACCTCTCCAAAGTAAGAGACTAGAGGCGAGATCTCACACACAGCAGGTGGTTCCTCGTCTTGGGCGAAACTGGAGAAAGGCAGGGAAACAAAGACATTTCAGGCTCTCCACAAACACACAAATGCAACTTACGCTGGAGGATAGCAATAGCAATAGCAGACTTATATACCGCTTCATAGAGCTTTCAGCCCTCTCTAAGCGGTTTACAGAGTCAGCATATCGCCCCCACAGTCTGGGTCCTCATTTCACCCACCTCGGAAGGATGGAAGGCTGAGTCAACCTTGAGCCGGTGAGATTAGAACCGCTGAACTGCAGATAACAGTCAGCTGAAGTGGCCTGCAGTACTGCACCCCAACCACTGCGCCACCTTGGCTCTTATAGGATAATAAAGGTCCAAATGCATGAAAGTTTATTCCCTGGAATAACCAAATCTGGGACTGGGATAATAATTCTAGATTTAAATATCCAATTCAACTAAATTGCCTTTGAACATGGGAGTGTTTTTATATTGATTGTTAACCATTCAAGTAGCCCTTTCATGGGTGCCTGGTAAATAGTGACAGTTGTTTCAACATCCCCAATTTAAATAGTAAAAATCAATACTGACTTACCTTTAAAACATTCCCACCCTACTCCATAAACACTTTTCAGGAGGTTGAATTGAATCAGACACGTAGCCGATTCACACAACCCACTAAACCAAAAACTCAACGGCGGCTGTGCACCCAGGGCGTCGCAGCAGGGGGCCAAGATTGCCCCTTCGCCCCTGCCAAGCCTCGGGGCCAACCGGGCTGATCAAGCAAAGCAAACCCACCTCTCCTTTTCCGGGATCGGCTGCCCACCCTCTGCCACGAATCTTCCCCCCGCCTTGACGGCCCAGCGGTAATGCTGAGACAGGATGGACCGTCGTGCCGTGGTGGGTGTGTCCCTGGCAGCTGTGTCTGCGTTCTTCAGGGGGGAGAACTCCTCTTCCCTCGGGACTTCAAAAGCGACAAAGTTCCTGCCAATCCAGGAACAAAGAGTTTCATGCTTAAAATTGGCCAGCAGATGGTTTAATTCTACACAGGTCGTTTTATTTGGCAATGCCAAGCTAGTGAAACATTGGAGGCAATGCCCACATAACTGTGGTTCACCCTTCATTCCTTTATATGGTGATATGTCTTTTGAGATACCCACAGAGGGGAATATCACTCCCCACCTGTTTTGCCAGGTGAAATTCTGGCTCAGCTGCTCACCATGGACGCTCCCCTTTCAACTCCCAGCGCAGAACAGATGTACCACCCCCAAGAGCAGGTTTCCCCCTGCACCTTAATGCCAACCACTGATCTGCACAGGACACCTCTGAAATAGGGAGGGGGCCCAGATCAGCCAGCTGCGGAGTGGTGTGGGGGGGGGGGGTTGCTGGCGGCATTATTCCGGTTCGCTTCAAGTGTGTGCACGCCATACGTTGCACAGTTGCCTGGAAATTGTTCTGTGCATGCGCCGAACATTATAAAATGCCTAAAAAACATGCCACCAATGCCATGGATGACCAGGGAACCAGTTCGGGGAGGCTGGGCCAGCCTGCTATCCCTACCGGTTTGGCGACCCGGACCCTATTTCCACTACTGGTGTGAACCAGTAGCAACCCACCTCTGGTGTGTTTGTGTGTGTGTGCAATGCTTCTGTTATGTTATGTTAATGCAGAAACCTGGAAGGCTGCATTGCCCCCTCCCTGCCGCCCCCTCCCCACCGCAGCAGGCTCTGTTCCACAGCGGAGTCTCCAGGCCCAAAGAAAAGGGAAGAGAGGCATCGGCCACTAACTTAGCAAATGGGAAGACGTCAAACACAAATTTCTCCAGCTTTATCCCGTTGGGCTTGAGCGGCGCCACCCGGCGGCCTTCCTCGTCCACGCAAGCGACTTTCTTGATGGCCACATGGGGCGTCAGCTGTGACTCGAATTGCCTGGGGAGGAGAGAACCGGCTCTGCCAACGAGGTCTCTCCCCCAGCTTTCCAAGTCCAGGACTCTCTTCAGGCGGCCCGGCCCCTCAAACCAGCCAGGACCATCCTCAGCCCAGCTGGGGTCTCCCCACACCAAGAAGCAGCCCCTCCCCCCTGAGGGAGACACCCCCCAATTTTACTCCCACGCAGCCTGGAAAGTTTTTTTCAACCCTGGGAGGGAAAAGAGCTGAATGGGGGAATGCCCGATTCGGCTGTTCGGGATGAACGAAAAGGGGAACAGAAATTTCTCGTGTCTCAGCATGTGATTTTTGGCAATTCCCTGGAAACCGTTTCGTAATTTTACTATCGGGAAGCCTCTCTGCGGTTTGTTCAGACACATGTCGTTTTTTCCCCCTCCTCCTGAATAACCCTCAGCTGACTGGCAGTTTGGCAGAGCAGTTAAATTACCTCCAACAGCCCCCCATGTCCAGATTAAAAGCAGGGAGACCTCCTTGGATCCAATTAAGCACCAAGAACCTCTCTTCTCTTCCCTTGTTTTTGCTCCTGGAAAGCTCAGCCTGCTCCAGGGCCCCCTCGGTGCTGATTGGGGGTGGAGATGGGGGGTCAAGGGACTTACTCGGCTACTTCCCGGAGGAAGTCGAGGCTGAAGAAATGGTTGCAGATGTTTCCTGCCCGGTAGACCAAGCGGCCATCGGGACTGCGTTCCTCGGCTGTTTCCGCAACGATCTCGCTGTACTCCACCACCTGAACGGCTCCGTCCACGCAACACACCACCCCGACAGGCTCGGCCGGGTAGGCTTTCTCCACCACCTGCAAAGGCGGCGTTTGGGGGCCCTTAATTTCGGGAGATGAGACACCGAAAGAGGCTGGGCTTAAACCAGGCCGCCCCGCCCCTTTCACCTTGGCCCCGCAATCCGCTCCTTTCGAGACGCAGAAGCCGATGAAGACGGGGTCCGCCATTTTGACCAGGATGTTGTCCACGCAGTAGACGTGCACGAACTGGACGCCCCGTCGCTGCATGTCCTGCAGGATCTTGTGGTCCACCAGGGCGCGATACAAGCCACCGTTGCCATCTGCAACACAGGAGGCAGCAATGGCTTTTTAGCCCTCTGCTCACCGCAGGCGTTCCCGCTTACCTTCGGCTACCGTGGGCCCCTTATTCCAGAAGGGGCTTCGATGTCAAAGGCGAGTGCAGAGAAACTGCAGGGAAAGTCCCGGACGTGCCCCCTCCCTCCCCCGTGCCAGAAAAGAGTTGCACACCTGGCGCCATGGCGATCTTGCCCTTCTCCTCCAGGATCACCTTCCCGTCAAAGGAAACGGCCGGCAGCATCCTCTGCTCAAACAGGATGACGTTCGACTCGTCCAGGTTGAAATAATGATGATCCCGGAAGAATTTCTCCGTCGGCCCCAGCGTGAACTCGCTGGTCATGATGTACCTGCAAGAGAAGCCGGATCCCCCCGGCGTTAGCAGATCTCCCACCCCGAATCCCTTCCTGCCACTGCTTAAGCCGCCCACGGTTGTGGGACCCACCAGGGCACCAGGCACCGCGAGCCAAACTTCTGCCCTGCCAGCTGCTCCACTTTGCGGATCCTCTCGGCCTGGATCTGGTAGAGGGTCTTGTGGCTGGGCAGGCCCACGTCGAACATGCCCTTGGGGTAGGGCACCCCCAAACGCGTCCCTTGCCCGCCAGCCAGCAGCAGCGCTGCCACTTTGCCCTGGGAGATCTGCCGGAGGCCTGGAGGACAGAAGGCACAGCTGGCATCAGCCCAGCCGTCTTGAGAGACACCCCCAGCACTCCGGCCAGGCAGGTAACCCACCTTCCTCCTCCCACCGCTGCAGAGCCTCCGGCTCGCCGCTGCCCACGCTGCCCACCACCCCGGGCGGGAGGGGCTCCATGCGGCCGTCCAGCTTCTCCGGGCATGGCTGTTGCTGGTGGGCGTAGGCCTGGGCCGCAAGGTGGCAATGCGCGGCCAGCTCCTCGGGCTCCAGCAGCGCCAGCGGCCCCAGCAGCGCCTCCCGCTCCGCCGGTCCCAGCTCGGCCCAGAAGCGCAGCAGGTGGGGCTGGCCGGCGCGCTCCAAGCGCTCCCGCATCGCCTCCTCCGGCGGCCCCATGGCCGGGCGCGGCGGGAGCGGGCAGGATCCCCCAGGCGCTCTTCCGCCGCTTCCCCCAAACGGCCGTTCAGCTGCTGGGCTCAGCCGCCGGTCCCGCCCCGTCCGGCCAGGCGGAGCTCCCGGCCTCGGAGCCCCGCTGCGGGGCGGGGGCAGCGGGGCCGAGGGCGAAAGGGAAGCCCGTGGGGAGGGAAGCAGCGGCGCCCCCTGGGGCGTGGGCCGTGGGGGGCCTGGCCCGGCCGAGGGCGCCCCCTGCCCCCATCCCCTCCGGGGCTCGCGTGGGGAGGGGAGAAGCGGCCGAGGCGGCTGCTGCCCGGGAGGCTCCGGCGTTGCCGCACGGCGAAATCAAACCAGCTGGCGGGGCGGAGGAGCCAATGGGCGTCGAGGGGCCGGGCCGGGCGTCCAATGAGCGGCGGGCGGCTGACGTCACGCGAGCTCCGCTGCCCGCCGGCCGCCCCATTGTCCGCCGGCCGAGCCCCGATGGCGCCGGAGCGCAGGGCGGAGGGTCCGCCGCGGGCCTTTCTGCAGAGCCTCCGCCCGCTCTACGACATCCTGGATGAGCGGCGGCGGGGCTACGTCCACCTGCGGGAGATCGAGTCGCGCTGGCTGCAGCCGGGCGGGGAAGCGGGGCCGCTGCCGCCGGGGGTCCTTGAGGGGCTGCGCCGAGCGGCTCCGGCCAGCGGCTACCTGACCTTCGAGCGCTTTGTGCTGGGCCTCCGGCTGGCGCTCCTTGGCCCCGAGGCAGACGACGGCTCCGGCGGGAAAGTCGCGGCCCGAGCGCCCGGCCCCCCCGGCGGCCCCCCGACGCCGCCGCTGAAACGGGCCCCCCACGCCTCTCGGAGCCTGGAGCGGAGCAGCCGCGGCGGCCGGGCGGAGCAGCAGCTGCAGGGCAAGCGAGCCGGTGAGGGATCGGGAAAGAGCTCGGGAGCTTCCCTGCCCACGTGCAGAGTTCTTTTAGCTGGGAAGCTTCCCCTGGTTGATGGCCGATCACACAACTCTGAAAAATTTGGGTTTAATTGTGAAACGGGAGGGGGGGGTCCCTGGTGGGACGTGAAGGGGAAAAGCTGGTTCAAGAGTGAGGGGGGGCACTCCCAGGTTCTGGGAGCTGCACCCGGGAGAAACAGCCCCCCCATCTGAGGGCAGATTGCAAAAGGAGTTTTAAATTTGGAGGAAAAAAGAGGGGAAGAAAGGATCAACATTGCTGCTTCCTTGTGAGTGGTGGGTTTACCAAGAGCCCCTCCCCTTAAACTGGGACTCCCTCTGCCACTCCTCTTCCTCTCTGCAGCAGGAGAGGCCAGTGAGAGCCGGAAGCTGCCCAGGGAGCAGGTGGGAAACGAGGGTCCCTGCAAGGAGCCGCGGAGGCAGCTGAGCATTCGAGGGGAAAGGCGGAGACACACTATCACCCACGGAGTGGATTACGAGATGGTATTCCCACTCCTGTGCCCCCCCTCCCTCAATCCCCACCTGGCAGAGGAGCTGGCAAGGCAGAGGGAGGCTCCCCCTGCTGGCCTGCAGCTTGCTCTCTCCAGTAGTGCACTGGGAGCAATGGGAACTGTAGTTTTCCCAGCTGGGGAAAGGCGCCTGCGCCCGTCGTGCCCTCTCATCTGGCGGTTGGGAGGGGGTGTGTGTTGTGGAGATGAAAGGGAGGGCGCTTGCCTTGCCCGCTGATGCCCTTGCCCCCTGGGTGTCTCCCGGCAGCTGAAGCAGATGAAGGAGCTGGAGAAGGAGAAGGACTTCCTGCTGCAGGGGCTGGAGCTGGTGGAGGAGGCCCGGGGCTGGTACCACCAGCAGCTCCATCGCCTGCAGGGGCACCAGAAGCAGCTGGCACAAAGCAAAGGCCGCCAGGTGAGGGCGAGAGGCAGGTGGGAGACCCTGGAATCGCCACCCAGAAAGGGAGGGCTGGCTGGCCTGCTCGGAGGGGCGACCCAACCACAGACCCCCTCCCCTTTCTCCCCAGCAGGAAGAGGAGAGCCGGATCCCGCTGAACCATCTCGTCCCCCAGTGCCTCTGCCAGCTGCTCTCCCTCTCTGCCAAGGTGAGGTGCTATGGGGGATTGGGGTTGGGGGGGGGGGAGTTACCCTGTCATACAAATCACATAAATCAACTTTGTTGGCATCTGCCTGCGCTGCCCATAAGGACTAGAAACCTGTTATGTGCCTTTCTCTTCAGCCTGGGAACTCAAGCCCCACCGTCTCCCACAGCCCGCCGACCACTCTGCTGGGCCCCATCCCATCCCTAGGGCCACAACAGACCATCAACATGCTGAAAGAACAGAACAGGCTTCTCACCAAGGTCAGCGGGGAGCAGAAGCCCCCTTGCACCCATCTCTTTGTTTGGTGGGGGGGCACTGGCTACTTTGCTAACACTGCTTTAACCCCCCCCCCTCCAGGAGGTGACAGAGAAAGGCCACCGGATCACCCAGCTGGAGCAGGAGAAGTCTGCCCTTATCAAGCAGCTCTTTGGTGCTCGGGCCAAAAGTACCAAGGACAGCGACCATCTGGACTCCACCTTTATTTAGCCTCTGGACACCCGTTGCCTATTTCTGGGGCATTCCCCCCCCCCCCCCGAGACTGGGAAAATGGGACATCTCCCATGGAGGGGGGGAGGCTGCAGAAGAATCTGGAACCTGTCCCCCCCTCTCTTTGCAAGCTGGCCCTTCTGGACCTTACGGCCAGCAGGAGGCATCGCAGCACCTTCTCTGGTCAAGGATATCCTTAACGGGCACTTTGCAGGGTCAGGAGTGGGGCTGAGACTCCCAAGGAAGACCCCTTCCTGACCGCAACACTCCTGGACGTTTGAAAAAACTGTGTAGCAGCCCCGTCAGACTCTTAGAACATCACACGGGGTTCCGATTCCCACCTCTTAGAATAAACACGGGCTCTCTTTTGTGCCTGGGCCTCCGAATGATATGGGCATTTTTTAATTTTATTTTTATGGCTGACATTTCCATGGTGCTCTACTCCAAACTGTGCCCGCAGAAGGGGATATATATGTGAATGCGCTTCCTCTGTGTAGCAGAAAACCTTCAGAATCCACTTGGTTTCCTTCCCGCTGGGAGAGAAGCCCCCACCCACCCACCCCAGGCCAATTCAGCTGACAGGCTGCTTAGAACCAGCTGTTTTTCATTGTAAGAGGAAGCTGCCAAAGGATTTGGGACTCTGACTTCCCCTCCAGTTACTACGGATGTTTACTTATGTTTACAAATAAACACTGCGTCGTTCTCTTTTTCTGCATCACATTTTTGAGAATGTTTTTTTTTAAAAAAAAATAATACCGTACATGTGTTAGTTTCGTTATTGCGCAGATCCAAATAAAAAAGCGAAACCTTTATTTTGCTGTTGCTTTGACATTAGTGCCTGGCATAGATCACAGGGGTCCGAAGGGGCTTGAGCCTGAAATTAGAGGCCCAAAGGGATAGCCGGGTATGGCTGAATCTGCTCAAGAGAGGCTGATAAAATCAAACTTTCTGGCCGCAGGAGAGCTTTTTCCTCAAGAAGGACCGAGTTAAGGATCTGTGTTTAATCAACTGGATTGCTTACTTTCCAAAATGAGTTTTTTTTCAGGGAATGAAGAGATCTGCTCTGCCAGAGAGTAATCTTGGGGGGGGGGGTAAAGTTATGAATCCAGTTGTCCGTATTTTTGCACTGAGTTTTGGGAGAGGGGAGAAGTTTGGTGAGACCCAGCAGGCTCCCCATCAGCTGCTCATTCCTGGAAAAAACAATTACTGGGTTGTGTATTTTTTTCATTTTTTTTATTTTTTCTCTTTTCAATGCAAGGCGGGATCCTTCGGAGGAGGAAGCGTAGAACGAAAGAGGCCCAGTTTGGGCAAGAGACCCAAATTTTCAACTCCCCCACCCTCAGGGCTTCCCCCCACAGGGAGCATCAATGCAAGAGGAGGGTCACTTGTCCCAGGCAGCCATCCAGAAACAACTGTGGATGCTTGCTCTGGCTCCAGAGAGCAGATCTCTTTATCCTTCCAGAACAGCTGGGCGGGCCGGGGGAGGGGGGAAGATGAGACTGGTTGAATGTCCAGAGTCCTGCTCCACCCAAATGTACTTATGGCTTAATGTATGTTGCATCTGTTTTCAATGTCTACGTTTCTGGCGTTTTGCAACTATGTTCCTCTGTTTATCGCCAGCCAGCCAGAATCCAGGGGGAACGACTGGGCTCCCACCTGGTTTGTGGCCCCTGTAGCAACCTGGGAGCCCTCCACCACCCCTGAAACACGGGCCTGGCTTACTGCCTGATTGTGATTTAATAAGGCATTCCAGATGTTAAGTCTGGAAGGAGCCAGTTCTGCAGAGCCAGGCTTAGTGTAGGAATCTGGGCTTCCGCCACATATAACAACCCCACTCCCCCCAACTCAAATTGTCTTTTTCTCTTGGCTTCCTCCGCTCTTAAGTTCAGGTTGAGGGCGGATCTCGGGACCTCTCCTATCCAAAGGTCCAATGTTGCTCTGGCTTTGTGCCCATTCAGATCATCGCAGATGTTTTGCTAAAGTCAGAATGAGTCCCACCCTCCTCTTCTTCCCTGAATTTGGGTCCTTCAGGAGGAAGAGAAAAGGAGGCATCCAGGCGTTCAGACGAGGAACGGTTATGAAGAATAAATGCCCTTGAGCGTCTTCCTTGACCAAATCCTGGAGAAAATCCACCCAGGTTGGTTCCCCACACTTGTGGGTGGGCCTCTTGAAGGCATCTGAGCAGCCTTCCTGGAAGCCTTGGAGCCAGGCCGCTTCAGTCCTGCCCAGTTGGGGCATCTCTGCCCAGATGCTCTTTGTCTCCTTGGATGTGGTCAGAGACGCTGAGGATAATTGTCTTTTGTCCCGGAGAAGTTAGCCTCAAAAGACCCCTTGGACTTCTCTCCAAGTGGAAATGCCAAGAGAGGGGGAACCCCGGGCGCAACTGGGAGCGTTTCTGCTTCCAAATTCTTTCCATAGAAACCTTGATGTTTTGTGTGGCTGGCATCTAATTTTGGAAGAAGGGAACAAACTAGAGAGACTGCGAGAGAACTCGCTATAAATAGTCATTTCTTTATCCACCGAATCCCACAGAGGGGGGCTATCTTATGCCACAAAGGTTGTTTTGTTCTCCTTCTCTCCTCATTGAGTTGGCACGGAGGGTCTTTGCCCATCCAGCTGCAGAAAGGCTGGTTGTAAGGCTGGTAAACTTCTCTCTTGAAGGCCAGGACTTCAAGGCTGGGTCCGTTGCTGGACCCGGCTAGGGTGACGTAAGAGGCAGGGCCTTCTTGGGGGAAGTCTGTCTGTCTCGCGGCATCCTTGGAGGGCACTCTTAGCATGCTTGGAAAGAACTTAGAGCCGAGGTGGCACAGTGATTAGGGTGCAGTACTGCAGGCCACTTCAGCTGACTGTTATCTGCAGTTCAGTGGTTCTA